GAATAAAGACCCTTGGAAAAGGGATCTGGGCTGTGCTCCACAGCATCCCCTATAGCTCATGCGTGTTATTTATTTAATATAGTCTCGTGACCACCTAGAGGGGTGGGATAGGGAGGATGGGAGGGAGACGCAAGAGGGAGCCGATCCGGGGATATATGTATGTGTATAGGTAATTCACTTTGTTACACAGCAGAAACTAACACAACATTGTAAAGCAATTATACTCCAATAAAGATGCTAAAAAAAAAAAAAAAAGAAATAGTTCAATACACACACACACACACACACACACACACATACACACACAATATAGTCTCGCATATGATTCACTAGTATTTTATGTAGGATTCTTGTGGTTAGTCAATAGTCATTAGTGTGATGAGCTTGCCTTTTTTTTTTTTAACCCATGTCCAGGTAATACCACTTTTCTAACCAATACAAAGTACAGAAAGAGAGAGAAAAGTCCATTTTTATTACTTGACTATATAATAGAGAGTATTGATATGTAGAGAAGTTTACTATTTTTTTGATAGTTTAAAGGAACTTGCTCATGAAACTCTCTAGACTTTTGGAGAGCATGATTAATATGTTATTTTCTTCCTCACAACTCTGTTATAGCCATTTTCTATTTCCTAAAACATAATTTTATTTCAGAGATTTTAAATTATATAGAATAAATAATAAGAATATAGTGTTATAAAGCAAAGGAGATGAATAATTTGTCACTTTGGCATTGCCCATCCCACTGTTTCCTTTTCTTGGCCTCTTTATGGACTCTGCGGTTGCTGTCTGTCCTCTTTCAGGACCTCTCTGACTATAGCAGCGTGACCACTGGTCAAGGCTCTTTCCTGGTTAGGCTTCTTCGTATTTCCTAAGAGTGTCAGCCCTGACCTCTGTCAGGTGAGCTTTCAGAGTCATGGCTTTTCCCTTTAGAAAACAATGTGTAGCCTCAGAGTTCCGAATGCAGAGCCTCTAACCTTTCGCTCTCTGCCATCTAATTCTCAGAAGTCTGATTCATTCAGTTCAATTCAAGCAAGGAGTTACTGAGTATCCACCTTATGCAAGGCACTATTTTAGGTACATGGGATACAACACAGTAGACATCAATCCCTCCCCTCCTAGAGCTGGTGCTATGGATAAGGAGACAGAAAGTCAACTACGTAAATAAGTAAGATGCTCGTGCTTCATGCTGGGGAGAAAAATAAAGCAGGCAAGCGGAATAAAGAGTTTTCTTTTTTGGGGGGGAGTTGCACTTTTAGACAGAGTAGCCAGGGAAGATCTCCCTGAGAAAGTTATGTTGATTAAACACCTGAAGGAGGTGAGCAAGGGCACCATGTGACCATTTGGGAAGGAGCATTCCAGGTAGCGAGAAGAGCATGTGCAAAGGCCCTGAGGCAGGAGCACCCGTACACAGTCAAGGATCACTGAGGAAGACGGCCAGATCAGAGGCAAAGTAGTATGAGTGAGGGCAAGAGGCCAGCAGGTCCAAAAAGAATGAGGGCTGGCCTTGCTTTTAGGTTCTTGAAGGACTTCGACTCCTACTTTGTGTGGAATGTGGGCATTGGAGGATTTTGAGCAGAGGAACGGCATGATCCATTTTACCTGGTAACAGGCTCACTCTGGCTACTGTGCTGAGACTAGACCACAAGTGGTCCAGGGGAGAAAGCAGTTCGGGAGCTGCTGTGAGCTGTGACACTTCAGACCAAGCATTTCTCCAAAGTGTCTGGCTTGATGTGAGGAGAACATGTAGACTGAATTTTTTTAGCCCTATGTAGAACTTTGTTTCTCATTTGCATTAGTGGAACCCAGTGCCCTGACAGTGACCAGCACAAGGCAGTCAAATAAAGAAAGCCCACCATTGTTCAGCTCGTGAGAATGTTGTTCCTGCATCACCCCAGGCCCCTTTGGCAGGCAGACATTTCCCTTGAGTCCCCCTCCTGGGATAACCTCTTCTCCTAAGAACCAGCTTATTTTCCTCCTTTGTTAATCTTAGAGTGCCTCCCTGCTTGCTTTCCTTGGGAAAGAGCTCAGACCTAGATCTACAGTTTACCTCTAGCGAGAGGATAGGACCTTGTGACTGCTGCATTCTTTTTTTTTCTACCTTTATTTTCATACACCTCAACTAAAAGAAAAGTTTTTATTCTATCTTATTTTTGTGAGTCGCTTTAAAATATGACAAACAACAAACCAATAATGCAGGATGCAAAAGGCATTTCTTCACGATAAAAAGAAAGAAATCCCATTCAAAGCATGGGCCATTTGTGTTCAATTTTTGTTTCCATAAATGAAAGTGCACACACTCTGTCTCTCTCTCTCTCTCTCTCTCTCACACACACACACACACACACACACACACATACACACACACACAATTTTTCAGGATGAAACTATTAGTGGCTAATATGTTACTAAAGCATCCTTATATCCCTGACTGGTTTCAGTACTAACTGCCATTCTTTTTCTACCTCGAGCTTCTAAGTGTGTTATTTTACCTCTCAGCAATATGTGACAGTGATTCTGCAGTCAGATCAGCCATCCAGGTTGGGCTGGATGCTTCCGACCAACAGGAGAGCTTATTAACAATTCACTTTTCAGCCTGCACCACCCCCCATTCTGATTAGTAAGACTTCACAAACTTCTTTGCAAATGTTTTGTTCAAACAATATATTTTCTGAGAACTTGGATATTTGAAAGTATTTTTTGTTGCCCTTATACTGTTGAACAACTACTTGACAGGGCATAAAAATCTTGGGTCAGACTCTCCTTGTTTTAAAATTCTGCGTGTTGCACAGTCATTGCTTAACGCTTACTGTTACGTAATGAGATCTTAATTGCCTTAATGGTAACCCTCTCCCCACCCTGACACTTTTTGATTTTTATATCTTCATTTATTTTAATACTTGAAATTTGAAGGGAAAAACAATAAGATACTTCTTGGTGTCAGTCTCTCAGAGCTAATCGTTCATTTTGCCTTTTAATCTCGAGTCATTTTTTTCATATCCAGAAAGTTCAATCCTGTGATGTCCTAGCCGCTACTTATGATCTATGTGTTGTTTGCACTTCCCTTTGGAACACATTTTATTCATAGGTTGGATCTCTGTGATCTCCACTCCATTTCTATTTTCTTAAGTTCCATCTTTTTTCTTCCCTTTTCTCTGCCTTGTGAGATGACCTCTCCATTCTGTCCTCTACATCCCGTTGTTAGCAGTGTGAAGTCAACCTTTCATCAGCTCAGTTAGGACTGGGTTTTTGGCTCCTGTGACTTTTATTTCATCCACATCCCTTCTCATCTCTGTACTTTCTTGTTGAATAAAAGTAATATGAATATCCTTCAGAATAGAAGGCAGATGTTTTCTGAAAAAAATCTTCTGTCCATGAAGGTAAATCCTTTTAGATGAGAAATTTTCCTTTTGAGCTATATACTTTTGTCCCTCATGAGAAGTGGGGTTTTTCCCTCTGTGGGCTTTAAGTTAGTTTTTCCTTGTCACCTTATGCTTGAACAAGGAGTAATCTAACTGAGCGCAGTATGGAGCTGTTTAGGGGAGAGCTTCCGGTCTGTCTCCTTTCCTTGATTCACCCTGGGGTCTCGAGAGAGTCACCACCGCTTCTTCCCACCACTCTGCACACCTCCCCGCTTTACTGCCTCACATACTGGGCCAAATAAACTCTCACCCATGGACATCGAGCTGCCCGTCCACAACTTAGCCCGCTCTGTGCTCAGCTCCACACGTGGCACATGCGGAAGCTTAATAAAAATGCTTTGAATCCCCTTGGGAGTGGGTGTGATATTGAAAGTGTCTCAAAGCTGTAATAAAGTATTTTGTAAACAGTTCTCTTGCACGACTGCCAAGATTTAAAGCCCATGGAGTCATTCAGATTGTTTTTGACTCACAAATTTGATCTCAACAGAAATACATTTTACCCATGGCTATTAAAACACAACAGTAATCTGTATTTTCTTGAATCCTCAACTGTGTCTTCCTTCCCCGTTTCCCTCTCTCTCCTGCTGCATAGAAACACTGGCTCCCCTTCTCCGTTCAAGAGAGGTTGCTGATTTAGAATGGAGAAGCATATGTAACTTGACACTCAGTAAAAGTAGAATTATGTACATTGTGAATCCTGAACTGTATGGGGTGTGATAGCTTAATGATTTGATTTTCTTTTTGATTGGAAGAAAAATATAGAACCTTGTAGGAAACAGATAACACGGTGGGCTATTCTCTTCATTTTATCAGAACAGCAGATAAAGATCGAAAAAGAAAAAAGAAAATCCACCAAAGAGGTGAGGTTATCTGACTGGTTCCTAATCTGCTCTTAGCACAAGGGTTACGCTGATCTATTCCCAGTATTTTTCAGAGACAGAATCCTCTCAGACAACCATGTAACTTAGAAATAGTGCTTTAAATCAGAGATGGAGGGCTTCCCTGGTGGCGCAGTGGTTGAGAGTCCGCCTGCCGATGCAGGGGACA